GAGTCCAAGACATGGATGACCGGTGGTATGCCGCTTGGAATCGAAATTATTGAAGGAGGATTCACGAAAGTTTAAAGTGTTTATTGACAATCTTCGATACCAAGTGATTTATGAGACATGAGAGAAAATAAGGAATTATAAATAGATTTTTTTAAATATTATGATTTTCTCATTTTTCATCTTCGCACAATAATTCTCAGTATTTGATTACTATCAATATTTAATAGAGATTTTATTACTAATATTCATCAGAAATTAAGTACTGGCCAAAAATTATTGAATTACTGGTAATACTTAATCATTAATAATTTTTCAGTATTTCTTAGTATGATATTTCTGTCTATATATGAATTATATGTATATATTGCATTCCAATATTGCTATGATATTACAATGTAATCTCTCTAAGGCCGGACATTTTTCCGTTGCTGCAACATCATAATAATGTTATAGTCATATTTCGCAATGTATTTGCACCCATACAGCACAGACGCTTGCAGCAATATTGTTGCAATGTTGTAACATTGCACATTGCAGTGCAATATTGCATAGACATTGTAATGACATTTGTTTACAATATTATTTTTGCAATGTTGCAGTAACATTTCAAAAATAGTGTAAAAAAATTTCCCATGCTTTGATGTGTATGTGTGTATGTGTGTGTATTATTTCGACTAACTATATAAAAAATTAAAAATGCCTAGTCATTATAATAAAGATTACTTCGAAAATCATATAAACATTTGTGATACGTCGTTCAAGCAGTGAAGCTATGACGTAATCATGCATATGCAGGAAGGTTCGCGCATTATACGCACATCACATTATTCTGCGAAAGGTATAACACGTGCTTGATATTCGTGAAAAATATCAAAAAGTTGAAAATATTTTACAATATATTGGAAAAATAGTGGAAGATTGGTGGAAGCTACATAAAGAAGGTATGTAAAACCAAATGCAAACGTATGTTGTTATAGCGATATAAACTAACCTAAATTAACCTTTAACAATTTTGGATATTACATGGTATTGCGAAATATATCAAAAGAAAAGTGCATTTTGCTTTTTAGTGTGCATGTAATCGTACAGAGATTCTAATTTAATTCTAAATTAAATCTGCATATATCGAAAATAATTAGTTTGTATTATGTAATAATTAGTTTGTATTTCTTACAATTTGTCCAATTGTTTGTTGGTTTGTTTCTTGTTACCTCTTGAATATTGTTTTTTGTATTGCAGTTGGTACGTATGCAATTATAATATTGTAAGAAATATGTATAATGCACAAAAAAAACATGTTCAAAACGTCATGGTAGACGAATTATTGCAAATAAAAGTGACATAGATGTTGCAGGATGTTCTAAACATATTTCAAGCAGGCATACTGTAAATATTTCTTCTAAAGATTCTTTAAATTTAGATTCATATAGTGACACTTCTGTAGAAGTTAATATTTCTGATCCACATGATGCTAAGAAAGTATTTATTGAAACTATATTCTCAAAAAATGATACGTTACAACATAGTAATGATATACAAACAAATACTTCTAACTATTATAATTGTATTGCTGATGAATCAAACAAGGCTACTAATATTACTGATGAGGATAAACTAACAAAGGCTATAGCTACATGGGCAGTATCTCATAATATTACTCATAACGCATGCAATGACTTGTTACATATTTTACGTCAATATATATCATGTAATATACCTGCAGGGGTGTATATCAGTTAGACACGGGGCAATTGGACACAGTCCAATCACAAGTCGCTGTTCCAAGGGACCCTACAAATGTCTCTAATCACACGGTGCTGTGATTGGCTGTGTCCAAATGCACTGTGTCCAAGTGCACCGCTCCCTACCTGCAGATATACGAACAGTATTAAAAACTCCAAGACAAACAGATATTTTTCAAATATGTGGAGGGGAATACTTTTATTCAGGTTTGCAAATATGATTAAAAAGATATGATTAAAAAGATGCTATCAAAAAATAATGATACAAGTATTAATTTAATTATGAATATTGATGGTCTTCCATTAGCGAAATCATCGCAAGCATCTTTATGAACAATTTTATGTTCGAATACTGTAAATACAGCAGTATATCTTGTTGGTGCTTATCTTGGATACCAAAAACCTACTGATCCTAATAGTTTTTTGCAACCTGTAGTGGATGACTTAATTAATTTAATTAATAATGGTTATATTCATACCGAAAAGGTAATCAAAATCAGATTACATGCCTTAATATGTGATACACCTACAAAGTCTTTTATTTTATGTATAAAAAATCACACTGGATATTATAGTTGCACAAAATGCTTAATCAAAGGAAAACATATAAATGGTAGAATATGTTTCCCATCTTACAAAACTTATCCTTCGAGAAAAGATGAATTATTTACCATTAATGCATATAAAGATTTCTTGACTAATTATTCTATTTTAAATAATATTCCCGAATTTTTACCCTTAATTAATACTCCAGTAAAGTACATGCATCTAATATGTTTAGGGGTTGTTAAAAAAATGATCATTCTATGGATGAATGGTCCATTTTGTGTACGTTTGAATACAAGGTCCATTAATAAAATATCACATATGTTGATTACGTTTAGAAATACAGCACCAAGTGATTTTGTTAGAAAACCCAGATCGATAAAAGATGTGAAGCATTGGAAAGCTATAGAATTTCGAAATTTTTTATTGTATACAGGTCCTATCGTATTAAGGTATATATTAAAACGTGACATATATATTCATTTCCTGACACTACATGTAGCCATAACAATTCTTATACGTAAAAATTTATGCCAAACAGAGTTAATAAATTTTGCTGATGCTTTATTAGATCACTTTGTAAAGTCGTTTGAAATATTATACGGCAAACAATATGTATCACATAATGTACATAACCTTCGACACATATGTTCTGATATAAGAACATTTGGTCCGAGGTGTATATCAGTTGGACACGGGGCAATTGGACACAGTCCAATCACAAGTCGCTGTTCCAAGGGACCCTACAAATGTCTCTAATCACACGGTGCTGTGATTGGCTGTGTCCAAATGTACCGTGTCCAAGTGCACCGCACCTTTTGGTCCGCTAGATAATTTCAGCGCTTTTCGATTTGAAAATTACATGTCATTTATTAAAAGACGATTACGTAAACATGAAAAATCATTACAGCAATTAATTAAAAGATATCAGGAGATTGATAATTGTAATGTTTTACGCTCAGAAAATGATAGCAATAATGAAATATATTCTTGTAAATTTGTGCACAGTAATGGTCCAATACCTGAAAATTTTGAGGTTCACTTACAATATCATATGATATCAAATGGAAAATTTAATATAAATTGCAAAGGTTGTAATAATAATTGTTGTCTATTAAAAAACGGTACATATATTGTCATTCAGAATATAGTGCAAAAAAAGAATAAAGACATTTTTGTTATTGGAAAAAAACTTAAATATTTAAAAGATGTTTATACATTGCCATGTAAATCCAGCGATTTTAGTATTAAAGTGATGAAAGTAGACCATGATAATATTTGGTCTTGGCATAAAATGCCTTATGAAAACGATCCAGATGTATTTGCAATATTTCCACTTAACCATCAAATATAATGTTTGTTTTCTATTGCTGCACTGCTGAATTAGTGCAATAAATTAGAGTGAGAAAACTTATATTTGTCTTATTTTAACTTATTGCATTAGTTCAGCAGTGCAGCAATAGAAAACAAACCTCTAATGACGTGCATTATGTATATAATAAAGATATTTCTTACAATACAGTATAATTCATATTTACCGTACGATTGCATATATACTACACCACATAGAAATGGATAGCAGATTTATAATTGCGGAATTTTACGACGGACTGCAATTAATACCAGCAGCATGGTATAATGCAGATAAATTATCATGCATTTGGCCTAGCCATTTTAAAACAAAATTGCGAATTAATAAAGCTATTATGGCAAAAGAGATGCCACAGGAAATATCAGATTGGGAGGAGTTACCCATCAAGAAAATTTTTGGCACTGCAAGTAAATAAATAATACAATACATTTTTATTTGCATGTGTTGTTATATGTCAGTTCTATCGTTTAATTTTAAATTATTTAGATATATATGAAGAAAGTATAGACAAATTAGTGCGAGCAGAAGACACATCTAATGTTGATACTGCTATTTCATCAAACGAGAGGAAACAACAAGAAAAGAAGAAGAGATGTGTCAAAGCCAAAAGACATTTTTCATCCTCTTCTGAAGATCTATCCTCTACCGAGGATAAAGAAAATAATATCCAAAAAGGAAAAGTAGTGCCTGCTCTGCCGGGTGTATATCAGTTGGACACGGGGCAATTGGACACAGTCCAATCACAAGTCGCTGTTCCAAAGGACCCTACAAATGTCTCTAAGTACACGGTGCTGTGATTGGCTGTGTCTAAATGCACCGTGTCCAAGTGCACCGCTCCCGCTCTGCCGCGAAAAGAGGATTTTACTAAGAAGCAATTATTGGACACACGAGAAATGACAGTACATGCGAATACTTTCATGAATACAGGAAGCAATAACGGTATGTATTAAATACAGTAGACACTTGTAGCAATACCGTCTTTCAGATACGGTAAACGCTAAAATGCATATATTTACTGCTAGATTACTTCAAATTTATAGGATACGCTGAAACTCTCTAATATATTAATATAATATGATAATCCTTACATTTAACCATGTATGCTTTATTTTTTAGATGCAAATAACGTTTTTACAAATAATATTACACGTCGTGTAGAACATTCTGCTGCAGAGACTCATAATGAACATCTTGACACTTGTGGTAACTTTTACAAATACTACTATTTCATTATATATTTCACAAATTATTTTATATAGTATTATAAATTACATACTATTTTACATACTACAGAAATATACAAAACGTTCAGAGAAAGAAATAGCAAACTTGTAGAATGTGTTCTAGAGGTTATTATAGAAAAAAAGTTGAAATACAATATGGATGAATTGAGCTTGATTATTGAGATATACACATTTTTATTAATATCTCAAGGGAGCGGTGCACTTGGACACGGTGCATTTGGACACAGCCAATCACAGCACCGTGTGATTAGAGACATTTGTAGGGTCCCTTGGAACAGCGACTTGTGATTGGACTGTGTCCAATTGCCCCGTGTCCAACTGATATACACCCATATCTCAATAGGTGAACAATACCTGACTTTTATCATTTTGTTGGGTTACTATTATTCTCGTAATCATATATATTAATTACTCAACATGTTCACCTTCTGCAAATATACTATTCTGCTTGTTATAAATATATAGATAGATCATCACCAAGTCATTAGCCTAAGTTCAATGGGAATAATATTTTCTCTATTATTCTACTAAGAAATTGTTGACAGGTCTTTAGTTATTACTATTATTGTATATCTAGGAGACTTCAAACAACTATACAAAAAGAAATCTAGAAACAATAATTTTACAGAGTAAATAGGCTATGATACAGGGCCATGATATACTTTTTAGTCTATTATCATATTTCAAACATAATTTGTATCTCGTTAATTGCGTCAGCAATTGACTTATTGTATATCTCAACTTTTTGCTTACAGTGACTTCTAAAACACATTCTACACGTTTATCGGTTTTCTTGTGAAGCATCCTGTAGAACCAAAAACATTTTTGTCCCATGATATATTACAGTAAACATTACCGTCATATCTGTTAACTAAATAATGTATATTGATTTCAGATTTTAAGAAACATATTATATGGAAATTAAATAAGGTATTATATAAATTAGAAAATATTGAAAATAGACTGCATATACTTCAGGAGCAAAGGCAATCTGCTAATGAATTTTGCAAAACTCAAGAAATGAATATTTATTTTCCGATATGTACAATACCTGACTTGAAGAAAAATTGAAGGAAGAAAATTTTCAGAATGATGTACGATATATGCAATACTCGCAAATTCGTGTTCATTATTAATCTAACACTATTATGATAAGTCATATCTAAAAATCCTATACTATTATTTCCCGCATTGTATAAAAAAGTAATACTTGTTCAAAACAATTTAGTCAATCAGCTTGGTTTTTTAGATATGTTTGTAAACCGCTGTTATATTAGTATATGTGAGATGTAACACAAAGTACTCATGTACATTACAAAGATTATGGCTTAGGCCCGATTTTTCATTTTAACTGGTGATTAACTGGTATAGGCTTTGCCTGATGATAAAATAAAAAATATGTTTTTCTGCGTGGTTAATCATTACATTGAAATAGTTACTTGTACGAAACCATCAATTTAATAATTAACCATGAATAGAAAAATACATGTTTTGCATTTTCATCAGTTGAAGTTTAAATCAGAAGTTAAGCAGAACATGAAAAAGTTGAGACGTATGCTTGTTTTAAATAAAAGACTGGTACATTGTATTTTTATCGAATTATTGCTTTGTTAAGCAACGTGAGAAATAATAATACAGTATTGTGGAATTTACTATTCATAAGGAATAACGCTATGTATATTATGCGCGTATATTATCGAACATCATCTATATATTTTACTGCTTGTACTCGTTAATCTAGTATATTATTGAAAAGTATATTATTTGATAAGTTGGTTATTACTTTCAGCTACATTTTTTTAAAGTTGTCGGTGGGAGCACCGCTTATATAATGATACGTAATATATTTAAAAAAACAATAACAGATAATGTAACCAAACATTTTAACTGGACTAGAAAAAAAGATAAACAAAGCTTTAAAGATTTAAGACTTTCAAAAATCATCATACGTAAGTATTTTTTCATATACTTTGATGTTAATTTTATTTAAATCAATTAAAAAAGTATGAAAATATGTGAACATATCTGAACATTCTGAACAAAGCTGTAGTATATAGGTAGAACACATCAACTTAAACAAAAAATTCTCTACTATTTTTCAAATAACCACGTACCATTTTGGTGTACATACAAAAAGTTTGGCGAATAGAGTGTGCCATGTTATGCGACAAGCTTTGTACGCATGATTTTATAAAGAATGATTGAAACTACCGATTGTTTCTTAACGACACGTATGCATACATTTATATTACGTCGAGAAATAAATATCTATGCGTCGCTCGCATCGTTACTCCGCCTTCAGATGTCAATCGATATCTACCCGTTCCAGGAAGCAATTATATTTTAACCATTTTTTATGAAATTTCGCGCTTATAATGATTGCTCTACATTACAAACTCTGCTTTACCCATCGTTTTCACTAATACCTCGAAAGTTTATGTGATAGTTTGGAAAATGATTAAATATTTTTTGCTCAAGTTGATGTATTCTACCTGCACACCACGGTGTTCGGATTTTAGATATTCTGTATTTTCTTTCTCTTTGACTAATATTTAAAATATATATTAAATAATATTTCTATATATGACAGAAGCTGTTCGTATGATATATAAGGAAATGACAGACAGCAACATTACAGATTATATATCAAAATGGCTTGCCCAAGCAAATATAAGGATTCAAAGAGAAAAAAATGAAGAAAATTCAGGAAAATAAGAATTAAACATTATATATTTTATTATTTATATCTTCATGTTCTTTAACATATGTTATTTTTTACTCATTGGAAAAGTGGAATAGTGAAACGCAAAGAGAAAATTAGGTTCTCCTTGACTCCAACGTAATACCCTTTTATTATATGAATAACGTATATAAAATAAAAAATTTTGTTAATGGCACATGTGTATGACCCTAAGTGTCATACTGAGGTTCTATATACTCCACCTTTCTGATCACGGGTTAATATATAAGTATATTTGTTATTAGTATATAAATATATTAGTATTAGTATAAAAGTATATTACCTAGTAAACACACATATACAGGGTGACCCATTTTAACTTAGGCAGCCAAATAACTCGAAAAATAAGCACACTACGAAAAAATGTTTACAATCAAAATTTCGTCATTTCGAGGGGGACGTACAATGACGTTAAAATTAGCCCCCCCACCCCTCCCCCTGGGTGGTGAGGGGGGGCAAGTTTGAAATCTTAAATGGGAACCCCTATTTTTTATTGCATATTCGGAATCTTTGGCTAAAAACACATACAATTTGTCTGAAACATTTTTCTCGATTCATGATAGATGGCGCTGTAATCGACGAAATTCAATTTCTTCGATTTCTCTTACTGAGAACCCATGCTTA